TTCCCGGTCCAACCGGTCCGACCGGCCGGGTCGGTCCGGGTTTTAAAACACTGATTTTATGCATCATTTTAATTAGTATTATTAATATCTATTTTATCACTACTATTTCAAATATTAAACCTTAAATTAATACTTTTATAAATTCATAGTCTAGTTTTAAAAACATTTGCTAAATTTATTATTTTTAAACTCTCATATTAAATTGTTAATAAAAACTAAAATTTATACAAGGAAACATTAAAAAAAAATTGTCCCATAATAACATAAGATATAACCCTATAGTGATATATGACTTGTAATTAAAAACTACTTTTACAAATACTATAGATATAATATATGTTGTTATATTGTTAAAAAATGTATGCATAAATAATAGTAACAATTTAAGTTGTTGAATTTTATGTAAATATAATATTAAAATTATGTATAGATACATATCAAATAGATTTATATCTATACTATAATAATATTTTTTATATGTTGCTGTATATAACATTTCATTTCTTGTATTGAAAGTGACATGTATATTTACAAATATTTTGTTCTTACATATATGATGAATGTAGGTAAAATAAAAAATTATTTCTACCTACAAATATTTAGTGTAAGTAAACTCAAAATACTTGTATTTACAACTGTTTATTGTAAGTAAAACTTATATAACTTACATAATAGATAGATGAATTGTCTATAAATAAATATAAAATATTTATTACAATTTTTCAACTTCTGGTGGTGACAATTTATGCTCATCCCTGCAAGTGATTTTTCTTATAGAATTAATAATACTTAAAATATGTGTCCAGCCAAGCATTCAACTGATAATAATAAAAGAAAAACACAAAAGAAATTGAATTTTTCTTTCTGTTGGGCAAGAATTTGAAAATTTAATAATGCCAAGGACATACCAAATAAGACTTAATTTCCATTTGTTCAGTTACCTAGGGAAGATGTATGTTGTGTTATGACAACTAAGGTGGTTTCAAATCCACAACAATCCCTAAAACAGCTCTTTCTCTCTCCACTTTCATTATTTTCTTTGGTACTTCTCTCTCTTGTGCTTCACTTTCAAGAAATTGAATCCAAAGTGATGGCCAATTCTCAAGCAGCTTCTGAGAGCATGGACAGTGAGTCTCGCCGTCGTGTTCATCACTGGAAAGAAACAGAAGATGATAAGCTCCGCCAACTTGTTCAACAACATGGACCAAAGGAATGGAATACTATTGCTGAACATATGGAAGAAAGAACAGGTATATCTATGAATCAAATGTAGTAATTAATTAACTTGAATTATATATATAGATATATATCTTTCCCCTTAATGGTTTTTATGAGAGATCTAATTCAATTTTTTTTTCCTGTTCTTTTAATACTAATGCATCTTGAACTAAATTGAGTAGATCTTGTTATCTTTTAAAGATATCTAGTGCCATATTAGTGAGAACATGAAAAATAAGACTGATTTGATTTTTCACCCGAAAAATGAGATTTGTTTGGGAAAAGTAAGAAAAAACCTTTAACTAAATAACTATACATGAGTGCTAAAGAACAACTAGGTTCGCCTAGTGGTAAGGATTTTAGTGTAGATGTACAAAGATTTAAGTTTAAATTTTAATATAATTTTTTTACTGATAAAAAGAGATTTTATTTAGCTTATAAAACTTATGTATGATTATTTGGTTAGAATCATGCTCTTACAGGATATTTTATCATCTATTTACTAATTAGTTGCATAAATATATGTCACTTAAGGTTAACATATTTGATACTTCTCAAGTGCATATGGCTATAGAAAAATGTCATATACTAAAGATAAATCTATATGCTTTTTTAGGATATATATGTTCTGTTTTAGGAAATTACAATATTATATATTATAAACATTTTAATTTTATGCTAATAGTATAATATGTTATACTAAGAGAGGATTGCTTTAGTATATTGAGAGGATGGAAAATGAAAATAATTTGGTATTTGGTAGGCAAAAAAATTGAGAACAATTTTTGAAAAATGAAAATAATAGTATAATTCTCAAATAAACATCTATATAGAGTAATAAAGTTTTATTTTACTTATATTTTCATCATAATCAGTTTGTGTATGGCTATTTAGTTAGAATCATGTTCTTATTTTACATGTTGTACTGGATATTCTATCATTTATTTATTAATTGCATAAAACTCATGAGTAATTTCGATCATATTTGATACTTTTTATGTACATATATGACTATAAAAAATCATGCATTTGTATATATACTAACAGATACTCTATTCGCTTCTATTAACAGAAATTAAAATTTTATATACAAACACTGCAAATTTATATTAACAGTATATTATGTTATACTAAGAGAGGTTTGCTTTACTATAAAAAAATTACAGGCTATAAAAAAATTACAGGCCTATATTTTTTTTCTGTCTCTCACTTTTGTGAATATTAGACAAAATTGAGATGCACTTCCTAATTAAGTATAATTAATCATGTTTGCTAAATAGAATTGAAATTTTATCTTTGATAACATGTATTTTCATTTAGTACAAATTTTAGTAATATATATTTAGGTATATTAATAAAATAAAATTTTAATTTTGATTAAAAATTAATGTAACTATATGTAAAAAATTATATCTAAATTTTGTCGGTATAATTTTACTTTTGAATAATACGGGTTAATTTTCACTACTTTTTTTGCAGGCAAAAGCTGCAGATTAAGGTGGGTGAATCATCTTGATCCTAAACTCAACAGAAACCCATTTACAAAAGAGGAAGAGGAGAGGCTTCTTGCAGCTCGTGAGTTTTTTGGGGCAAGATGGGCAATGATAGCGAAAATCTTCCCTGGTCGAACCGATAATTTTGTGAAGAACCGTTGGCACGTTACTGTAGCCAGAAAGAGAAAGGAAGAGTTTAGGAGAAGAATCATGCAAGAGCACAATAACCGTTCAAGGGCTTCCTCTTCCAGAGACAACAATGCCTCACTTGCAAAGCCTCAGCCTCAGGAATTACCACTCTTTGGGCCAAGAAATGAGTTGGGGCGTGGAGCACTAATGATGAGGCAAGAAAAGGCACACGCAACCTTGTGCCCTAATAGTTGGTTGAGCCCTTCAAACTTTGGATCTGTTCCATCTTTTGCTGAAACTAATTTTCCTTTGGTGGGTCCATATTTGAGTGTGCAAAGGGTTAATGCTGTTCCGGAACATTTTGGATTGCTTCGTGACGCAAGGATTAATGGGAACTTTGGAGGTTTGTTTGGTAACTCGTCATCATCATCTGCATTCACAAAGTTTAGGGCTTCTTCTTCCTCAGAGAAAGGGAAAGCTCGTGAGGAGTCAAGTGATAGTGGAGGGAAAGAAATTACTTTCTTTGATTTTCTTGGTGTTGGTGACCAGTGATGTGTTGTTAAATTTCTCGTTGGCCTTAATTTTCTCTATTTCTGGCTAGTTTTGGTTCAGACACAAAGATTTTGAAACTCTAGACTATTTATGTTCGTGATTTGCCTGCGAGATTAATTAGACTGTTAACAAAGATTCAACTCTTTAGTCTTTAATTATTATATTTTTTTTCTTCTAAATAGTATTTTCATATTTTTATAATATTTAATTCGTAATTTTAATCTTTCAATTTTCAATTTAATAATTTTAATTTTTTAATTTTATAAAATTTGTAATTTTAATTTTCTCTCTAAAAATTTATTTATTAATTATTAAAATTGTAATATTGGTTATGATTAGAAATAAAGATTACAAAATGTATCCTCGCCCTATAAATACCTGTAAAAAATACCTTCAAATTGGAAGGATAAAAACTCACATAAATGAGAATGGAGACCAGATTACAAATTTCCCACAAACTTCAATAAGATTAAGGATGACTATGAATACTATATAGTAGCTATCTCGTTGCCCTGCACCGTTATTTATATATGATTAATTAAAAAAAAATCTTATCGTAAATTCTTAACTTAAAATTCTATATTAATTGCAATTCTTTATTTATTTAATTAGAGTTATTGTAACTTTTTTTTGTATTTTAATTTTTAATTATTATTTTAGTTAGTTTAATCTTTAGTCTCATCATGTTATCATCTTTGATTCCCTTCGCTTTACATGAGAAAGCATTGGGAATTTATTTAATCGACACTTTGGCCAGATAAAACAAACACTAAAGCGACAGAATAACGAGAAGTTAACCATACATGCACGTACAAGAATCACACCTTTGATCAATGGAATTTGAAGAAGAAAATAAAAGGCCACAACTAGCAAACACGAAGCAATAATGATATGTTGTGCATAGGCCATATGATATGATTAGGCGCATTGGAAGCCACGTGGGACTTGCCTTGAGCAAACGTTGAGAAGCAAACTGAGTGAGATGGGAAGGTTGAGGTTGATGCCCAAAATGTTAGCTCTGAGAGCAGTGCAGAGGCACACTGCAGCCTCAAGGTCAACGAGACCGTTGAGGAGGGTGCAACAAGGGGTAACTGGTGGTTGACCCAAAGTCACGTTCAGCAACCCGTTTAGCACATTGGCACATACACCTAGTTTCAGTGCATCAAGAGGGGATTAACTGACGTTGGTCTCGGTTTAATCAATTGATGATCTTGAGTTCTAATTTTAAACATAAGACTACGCTAACCATTCGGGGAAAAAAGTTGTATCGCACATAATAGTCTTTTTCCACTCCGATGGTGATAGTAAACTCATAATTTTGATTCGGATTAGCTAACTATTTAGAGTTTTTTTTTTCTTGAATGAACTAATAGTGCATGTAGTGGCGGACCTTTTAAGAGATAAGGAGAGCCGTGCCTCTTCCAAACTTTTCTTTTAAATATTTTATATATATATATATATATATTTATTTATTTATTTTATGATTATTATAATTAATGAATGATAATATTTTTTTTGAATTTTATTATTATGCATGTTTATTTTGAGTAAAAAAAATAAAAATTTTTGTTATTTTTTAATTAATTTTTTTTAAATTTATATATAAAATAATTAATTTGGCACTCCCAAATTTTTTATTAATATTCCGCGACTGAGTGCATGCACGTGGAGTGATACAGTACATTAGTCACGGGCTCATTGCAGTACTCGGTCAACCCTTCTGCTATTAGGACTAACAATAACGCTGCAAGGGGGTCTCCTTGTCTAATCCCTTTTTGGACATTGAATTCCTTGGTTGGGCTTTCGTTCACTAATACCGACATGGATGACGAGCACAAGCATTCCTTGATCCAACTAATCCAACAATCGTCAAATCCAAGTCTTTGAAGCATGTATAATAGGAATGACCATGACACTGAATCGTACGCCTTTTCAAAATCAACTTTGAAAAAAATGCAAGTCTTCCTCATCCGTCTCACCTCGTCAAGAGTTTCATTTAAAATGACAGCACTTTGTAGCAACCCCCTACCCTCCACAAATGCCATCTCTCTCTCATCCACCAATGAAGGTAGTACCACCTTCAGTCTCCTAGCAAGAGTTTTGGCCAATAATTTGTACATGCACCCCACCAGAGATATTGGTCGATAGTCGTTCAATTGCATTGGATTATCAACTTTCGAAATTAATGATATGAATGAGGAGTTTGTGCCTTTTGGGAGCTTTGCATTTTCATAAAATTGTTGTACAAAAGACACGTAAAAGAAGTCAAGTTTGCCAACCATATCGATTCAAATATGTATCATCCCATTTTTATCTTTGACTCTTTTTAAATTTGAATGTATGAATTTATTTTGAAATCTTATCAAACGTCAAAAATCCACGAAAATTCTACAAAACTCACAAAATCTCACAAAATCCATTAAAATCTTGATTTAAAAGTCTTGCAGAATCCATTAAAATCCTGATTTTAAGTCTTGTAGAATCCTGCAAAATCTTAAAAATCATGAAAATCTTACAAAGTCTTTTAAAATCCACAGGATTTTTTTTAACTAAAAAAGTCCTTTAAAATCCTAATCCAATACACCCCCCTTAGTTTCACAATAATAAATAATATTTAAAATTAAGAGATAAAAGTTTAGAGATTATCTCATGATAATGTGATTAATATATAATATGTGTGTGCACATGTCTATAATTATTAATAGCAAGTTTTTAAATAAAAAATTTAATTGAAAATTTTAAAATATTTTAAGGTTAATGTGGTAAATATTATCTTTTTTTTTTTTTATGTTTATATATTTGTTTTGTCTTGATATTTTGTATTTTTTAGTTATAAAAAAGTAGTTATTTTAACTAGTGATTGTGAATTTCTAAAAAATTTCTATATATTTGATATCTATCAACTTTATTAGTAAATTTGAAAATTTGAATTTATAGAGAAGACCACAATTTTTTTTAATATAATAACTTTGTAATTATTTTGTTATTATTATTATTATTATTATTATTAATTTAGTAGGAGCATTTTTGTTAGTCTTTATGAAGCATAAATGAGAATCATTATGTCAATTTAGTGGGAGCAGTTGGGGAATTAATATACCAAATATTTTTTCTTTTTTGGTAAATTATATATAAGAGGTTTTAAATTTGAACCTCAGTGCAACCATTATATATATAAAAAAAATTTGAATAAGTTTAGAGATGATTAAGTCTTGTTGGCCTACTAGGCATATATGTCTATTTAGTGAGGAATCCATAAATTTTAGGTAGTGGAGACAATACTTACTCATATATTTGTAGTATTAAAAATTTTACATATAACTTTTAAAAGTATAAATATATATCATAATTATTTTTACAATTTTTATATCTACAATTATAATTAAGGATGGAAATAAATCGGATATGACTAGATTAAATTATAATTTAATAGATTTGAACCTAACTTTCTTTAAAATTACATGTCTTTAATATGACTTATTTATCTGTCATAGATATTTTTTTAAATGTTTGGTTAGAACTACAATCTTAAAGACTTACTTTATAATAATTTAACACTAATAAAATAATAAAAATAAATATGTTAAATTTTATAAAAAAAAAACAAGTTTAATTTTTTATGATATAAAATATTTTTAATATCTGATATAAATTTTTAGATGATAATTTATTTTAAAAATATTTTATAATACAAATTCAAAATAGAATATAAATCTTCTAACCTTTCCTATTTTTATTTTTTTAATCAACGTATACAATCTTACAATCTTTACTATTTTGATCTTTTTAATCAACGTATACAATAAATAGAAAGTATAAAAGGTAAACATGCATAGTGCAAATTTTATTTTATCAAAAAATAATTTTTTAATATATTACTTTATATAAGTGAACATTAATATATATATTTATATAATTAAACTTTTTTTAAAAAACTAATTCATTATTAATGGGTATTCTTTATCACATATGAGGACTAATCTCCTTCAAAAATTTAAAAAATATTAAATAAATGAACACCTCCTTCAAATTTATATTTTATACATATGATAATTTATATATATATATATATAAATATTATTAGAATATAAATTTTATTTTATAAAATATATTATTTTTTGGATAAAAAGAAATATATGCATAAAATGGTAGTGGGGGCAAGTGCCTCCACTATCTCCTATGTAGATTCGTCCCTGTGTCTATTTATACATCTCGTATATAAAACAAGCTATGTAAATGAGCTGTTAGGCTAAGTAAAATTTTAAACAGGTCAAGTCATACTTTTAAAAAAAAGGTCTATAATGTGTAAATAAGATAAACTAGACTCAAAAGCCTAACCGACCTATTTCGAGTTTTGTTTGCTATTAATGCTAATATTTAAATGATTAGAATTTATATTCAGAATTTTATGTTTCTAATATTGTTTGATTATGAGTTATAACTATGTTTGAATGATTTATAGTTGTGTTTGGATAATCAAGAGTGAATTTTAAATTTGGTTATAACTATTATTTTAATTAATATTTTTCATTGATTTATTAATTTTATACATAAGTAAAGTATAGGTAGTGGGTGTGGATGTGGGTGCAAATACAGGTATAGATATGAGTATGTAGGTACTCAACGTGTGCAAGGTAGTGGATTAAAGTTATTATTCGTACCAGTATATATGAGGATGGGTAAAATTATTTTTTTCAAATTCAGGTATGTGGACGAGTATTATAGCATTCTACCTAGACCTTACTCATGTCATCTCTAACAAGGGATGCAAATAGGTCATACCTTAAATAGAAACTTATGATTTGTTCTATTTAAAACCTGGTTTGACTTAACTTATTTAATAAATTGATTAAGTTTAAGCTTTTATAAAAGTTTATTTGGTTAAAAGATTGGACTTAAGCTTTTAAAAAATATGATAGATTAGCCTATTTATCTATATAATATAATTAAAAATTATAATACATATTATATTTTTAAAATTAAAATGAATAAATAAATGTGATAAAAAAATCAAATTATTACAATTATTACTACACAACGATTTACATTTTCTATTTCTACAAAATTAAGAAATTGAAAATAGAAACTCTAATAATCGTATCCTCACCTACAGTTTTAATAAGATTATCCTCTTTTATCATACTCTATGTATGAGTATACGATAATGTACACGGATATATGCATAAATTGTCTCTCTTATATTAATTATTTTTAAATATAATTTTAATAATATTGAAGTAAATTATATTTTTTATCATGCAAATTAAAAAGAGATATATAATAAGTTAAGTTTATACTTTAATTTTGTAGAATAAGCTCGACTTGTATACTTAAAAAGTCTAGTAATATTCTCATCCCTCATCATGATCTATTATTAAATATATAACATGACAATTAATACATGATGTTTAGGCTAAATTGCACTTTTAGTTCTTATTTTTATCTCATTTTCATTTCATTCTATTACTTTTATAAGAAGATGTAAACTAAAGATTAATTAAAACTTATCCTAAATATTATTAAATATTTTTTTTATCTCATTTATTCAACATGATTAAAATTAATGTTATAATTTTAATAATTAATGAATAAATATTTATTGAAGGTGTTAAAATCGTAGATTTTATTAAATTAACGGAATAAAATTATGAAATTAAAATTAAAAGGTTAGAATTACTAAATATTTCAGAAGAATTAAAAATACAACTATCGAATAACATATAAGGGAAAAGGTTGATTGTGAGTAAGACCTGGGTTCTGAATTGCGATGCAGTTTCAACTACAGAAAATTGAATAAATTTATGGATTTTAGAATGAAAATGATATTGAGACGGTATTAGTTGAATGAAATTAAGTTGGTTGATACGATGTAGCAGCAGGCCTAAGACTCTTGTCTTTTCAATTTGAACACAATTATTTGATATAAATACCGATTTAATTAATAAAAATTTAGGATAAACTATCTTTTTAATCTCTCTAAATTTATTTTATTTTATTTTCTTGATTTTGAAAACGTATCATTAATCGTCTTTCAAATACATTTGATAGTATTTAAGAAAGTTATGCACTAATTTTATATTATCTTTAATAACAAATCACTGATATAGTGAATTTATTGACATTTATAATACATTAGATAATATTTAAAAATAGCTATAAAATATTATTTAAACTACTTTAAGGATAAAAATAGTGTATTTTAAAATTAAAAAAACTAAAATAAGACAAAAAAATTTAAAAAAATTAAAATTAAACTTGAAAATTTTTGAAAAGGCTAAAAACATATTTTGTCTCATATTTACAAGTATATCGGCATAATAGAAATTAATCCATTACAAACACATTATATTTTATTCAACAAGGTTTAATAAATAATATCCCATTTTTAAAAAAAATTATTTATGTATTATTTAATAAACGTAATTAATATCGGTTTCACAATTATACCAATTATTAAATTTTGAATCAATACTTTTACCAATTTATCAATCAGCCTAGTTTTAAAAACATTTGTTAAATATATTATTTTATAAACTCTAAATTATTCAAAATATCAAATTTAATTTTTTTAAAAATGTGTATGAAAATCACAGAAGAAATTGATGTTTTTTTTTCTTTTGGACAAAAATTTGAATTCTTAATAATGGCCAATGACACACCAAATAGCACTTAATTTCCATGTGGTCAGTTACCTAGGGAAGATGTCTGAGTTGTGTTAAGACAACTAAGGTGGTTTCACGTACGTCCACAATCCCTAAAACAGCATCTTTTTCTCTCTCCACTTTCATCATTTTATTTGGTACTTTTCTCTCTTGCATGTGTGCTTCACTTGCAAGAATTGAATCCACAGTCATGGCCAATTCTCAAGCAGCTTCTGATAGCATGGACAGTGTGTCTCGCCGTCGTGTTCACCACTGGAGAGAAACCGAAGATGATAAGCTCCGCCAACTTGTTCAACAACGTGGACCCAAGGAATGGAAGGAAATTGCTCAACATATGGATGGACGAACTGGTATATCTATGAATCAGATGTAGTAATTAATAGTTAACTTGAATTATACATATATCTTTCCCCTTAATGCTTTTTATGAAGAGATCTAATTCAAATGGTTTTTTTTCCTCTTTTTTTTTTATTTTTTTAAAATACTACTGCATGCAGAACTAAATTTTGTACTGGATCTGTTTATTTGTTAAAGATATCCTGTGGAATATTACTGAGAACATGAAAAATAAGAATAATTTAGTTTTTGACTGGAAAAATGAGATTTTTTTTTGAAAATGGTAAGTATAAACCTTAATTAAATAACTATTAGGCGAATTCGCCTAGTGGTGAGTGTTTTTATGCCAATGCATGTAGATTTAGGTTTAATCTTTCTTGCTATCGGTATAATTTTTTCCAATGATAAACAAAAATTAAATTTTATTGAGATTATACTGAAGTTATGTATGATTATTTGGTTAGAATTGTGTTCTTAGTATATTGAAAGCATATAAAAGGAAAATATTTTGGTATTCGGTAGGCAAAACATCGCGAACAATTTTTTAAGAAAGAAAAGTATAATTCTTAACTAATTAAACAAACTATACAGAGTGGTAAAGATTGATTTTTTACTTATATTTTAATCATAATCAGCTCGTGTATGATTATATAGTTAGAATCATGTTCTGATTTTTCATGTTGTACTGGATGTTCTATCATTTACTGATTAATTGCATAAAACTTGATCACTTTGAGTAATTTTGATCATTCTGGACATCTATTTATTTTAAACACTTTTATTATTATTTTTAAATGTTTGAATGCAAATTTAAAAGAATTTTTAGAGTTTTTTTTTTCTAAAAAAAAAAATTCAGAAAAAAAATTCTTAAAAATAGTTTTTGTCATTTGGAGTGTTCATATATTTATGTTTTTCCTTTTGAATAATATGGGTTAACTTTCACTATTTCTTTTGTTTTTTGCAGGCAAGAGCTGCAGATTAAGGTGGGTGAACCATCTTAATCCCAAGCTCAACAGAAACCCATTTACAAAGGAGGAAGAAGAGACACTGCTTGCAGCTCACAGGTACTATGGGGCAAGATGGGCAAGTATAGCGAGACACTTCCCTGGTCGAACTGATAATTTTGTGAAGAATAGTTGGCATGTTGCTATTGCCAGAAAGAGAAAGGAAGAGTTCAGGAGGAGAATCGTGCAAGAGCACAACAACCGTGCAAGAAACAACAATGGTTGGATCTACTTTACTATCTTTGGATCCACCTTTCCTCTGATGTATCCACATGGGAATGAGCAAAGGGTCAATGCTGCTCCAGAACACTTTGCAAGGATGAATGACAACTTTGGAGGTTTGCTTGATAACTCAGCATCAGCATCAGCATCAGCATCAGCATCTGCATCTGCATCTGCATCTGCATCATCATCATCTGCTTTCACCAAGTTTAGGGCTTCTTCTTCCTCTGAGGGAGGACATGCTGATGAGGAGTCAGATGATGGTGGACGCAAAGAAATTCCTTTCTTTGATTTTCTTGGTGTTGGTCACCAGTGATGTGTTGTTTCTAAATAACTTGTTGTGTGGCTTGGGATCTCTTTATTTCTGGCATGTTTTCGCTTTGTTGTGATTTCGAAACTCTAGACTATGTGTGTTCGTGTCTGCATGAGACTTATTATTATTATCGTTTGTGTTTGAGATTTGTGAGACTGGTGAAAACAAAGATTCAACTCTTTGTTCTTTTATATATTATGCTTTTTTCATGAGTCTTGGGTCCCTACCAGTCATGCATGCTATATTATTGGGCTATTGCTCCGGTGCCCTCTTATTTAAAGGGGTTTTGGTGCCCCTCAATATAAAAGTTGGGTTTTTAGGGACAATAAGGTAAATTGATCAATTTATCAATTTACTTTATTGTCCCTAAAAATCCAACTTTTGTACTGAGGGGCACCAAAACCCCTTAGGGCACCGGAGCATTCCCCATTGCTATTCCTTTGTGGACTCATCTAAGGGAAAACGTTGATTGCGACTGCTGAGACCATGGTTCTGAATTGCGATAATGATTGCAATTGCATTTATAGAAAATTATTATAAAAGATAGAATTTAAAATGAAAAGGGTGATGAGATTTATAGTATTAGTTTAACGAAAGCTAGTTGATACAATGTAGCAGTAGGACTAGGACTTTTTTTTTTTTTTTTTTTTTTTTTTTATAAATTTT